GTTTAGTAATAATAAGAGTAGAGATGAGGAAGTAATTACGATTGACAGTCAGGAAGTACAAAACAGACCGCACTTTCGATATCTTGTTTCGATAATCCAAGAAAATAGAGAGATTAAGGAAGATGTTATACATAGAATTAGAGTTGGGTGGGCAAAGCGGAGATGTGCAACTGAAATTTTATGTGACCGCTGCATATCAATGAAGTTGAATGGCAAGTTCTATAGGATAGATGTGAGACCTGCTTTGCTCTATGGGGATGAATGTTGGGCAGACAAAAAATAATATACTCATAGAATGAGTGTAGAGGAGTGAAAACGTTGAGATGTATGAGCGGTAAGACAAGAAGAGATAGAATTTGAAATGAATCCATTTGGGAGAATTTAGGTATCGTACCAACAGGCGAAAAGATGAGAAATAATAAACTTAGGTGAGCTGGCCAAAAGATGAGAGAGAGTAGACTTATATGTGCCGCCGACCAAGTACAACACATGTTATGAGGTGTGAGTTAGTTCAAGTGGAAGGACTTAAAAGGGCATGGGGTAGGGCCAAAATGAAGTGGTTGGAAGTAGTTCCAAAAGATATGGGGACCTATATCTTTATTGAGGGTATGACCAAGATTCATATAGCCGACCCCAATTAATTGGGAAAAGGCTATGATAATGATGATGATGATGATGATGATGATATGGGCTTTTGTAAAGGATTTGACTATTTCTTCTTGGTAGTCGAGTGGGTGTTATAGTTGATCCTAGATAGTTGAAAAAAGGCTTTGATGATGATGAGTTGAGTGGGTGTTACTCGTTGGAGACGAAAGGTATTTCCCAAAATCCTCTGTGCTTAATTTATCTAAGTTGATTTTTGTTGTTGGAGTTGAATTTATGTGACAAAGGATGGCATATCTATACAGGTTGGAGTAGAAAAATTAATATGTCCCAAATATGGGCATTGGAGGTTGTTTATGGAGGTATTTTTCCATAGCCAAGATATTTGGGATTTGGTTTCCAGGACTAAGGTGATGCCAGAGGATACACTGGATGATAAGCTAGACAAAAGTAGAAGATTAAATATGACAAGATTCAATTTACATTGAGGGTATCAATATATAAAGATTTGACTGATCACATTGTGTAAGAACACTATAGGAAGAATGAATAGTTAAACAAAAAATCATTTATGCGGTTTGATCAATAAATTTACTTACAAAGTGCTTTTCTTAAAAATCCTTTCATTTAGGTATCTTGACACAATTTGTATTAAAAAAATATTTCTATTGCCGAATCCTTTCATTTAGGTATCTTAACACAATTTGTATTAAAAAAATATTTATATTGCCTTCGTTTTGTAATTCTGAACATGGTAATTTGATACTTATAGCCACTACCTAGATACCCTTGTTTGTTCTGGCATCCAAATTTGGAACATATTTGGGCTTGGAATCAAAAACAAATCAGGGTATTTATATTTTTTTAACATAGGTGACTTACGTAGGATCTAGTTATCAAAACCCAATTGTTCCAAGTTTTAAACAAGGAACAACATTTCTTGAATGAGAAACACGTTCCAACTTTGGTGCTCGAACAAGCAAGGTATTTACTTCATTTAATTTGTCTAATTTAGGTTAGACAAATTACCAAAAACCTTGACTTGTTCAGAGTAACAAACCTGACAAATTGAGCATTTCTTTAACTAAAGTTTGAGAAGGTATAAAGAAACTATTCTTATAAACAAATCACTTTGTTGATTTAAGAACCTTAATAATAACTTGAGGTGGTTTGGCCATTTTAAATATAGTTTCTCTAATATGAAAGATTAGAATAGTTAAAAATGGAATCGGGCCTTGGATCGTCAGGATTGATTCCCAATTCCAGTGATACAAATAAGCAATTTGCTATTCGTGTTACTACATAGATAGGGCATGAAAAATCAAAGGGAATCAGGTAATTTCGGGCTGCCCTAGACTTGGGTTGCCCCCCCATTGGTTCCGATTTGAATTGGGTTGATTTGATATGATGTAGACAATTTTTAGGGTCATTAATAGTTGTCTCAATATCTATGCTATGTTATTAAGCAGTAGTTAAAGGGTGGACTCATGTCATAACAGTAGAAGGGACCCTACGGTGAGGGAAACATTGGGGCACGGTATCATAGAGCTATGGTATTTAATCATATTTAGGAACTAGGGCATAGAAATCAAAGAGAAATCTCAAATTTTAGAAATTGATATAGGATTTAGTTAAAGAAATTTGTTTCGGGGACCACATTTTTACATTTGCTGTCCTTGAGGTATAAAGCATCCATTTTAAAGATGGATGCAAATAGATGGTCCATCTAATAACAATTGAAACTAAGGGTCCAAATATTTTCTTAATATAATTATTATTTTTAATTTTTAATTTTCAATTTTTATTTTTTCATATTCATGATCTCCAATGTTAGAGATTACGTGGTCCAAAAAAACATATCAAAAATGGATTTTTAAGAGGTGCCTTATTTGTATATGGACTCATGTCGATAAAGAATCCGCAACCCGTGGCTCTGATACTCATGTTTGGGATTTGGAAAATGATCAAAGGAATTGTTTTATACATAATGCAGAGAAGAGTGAAATCTAGGGAAAGATGAAATGATCGGAGATGGGGTATGATTCCTTCAGCCAGCAAGGACTGGTCGGGTTAGAAAGTTTGGGGAAGCCATAGGCCTTTGGCTTAGTTTGGGGGCTTTGAGTTTCCTTCTTTGCAAATACCTCAATAATTTTAAGGCGTTTATTTTCCTAATATAGCATAATGACCATTAATGCTGCCACCTCAATTGTCCCGTTGTCTTTATCTCTTTCTGATTTATTTGAGGGATCATGACCCCATACTACTAAGAATGATCTGATAATTTGATGTAAGCCTTCTAAATTAGGTTAAGGTGATAATATCAAAGATTATTGCCCCTATCTTCCATTTAGTTTAAGGAAAATTTAGCTGTCGAATACAATGCATGCACCACTTTGTGTCGAATAATATAAGGAGATAAATTATTATTTTTTGAGTAAAACAGTGGGGAAGAAGAAGACAAAAAAAAAAATTACAACGCACTATTTTACGACCCTATAATAGGAAAATTATGCAATATTATTAAGTAAAGGAAAATAAATAAATGCCTAGAGCGTCAAATAGTTACATATGAAACAAGGAGATAATTTTGGTAATTATTCTATAAAGAGAGGTCTCTCTCTCTCTCGCTCTCAACGCAAACATATTGTGAACTTGTTAACGTAACAATTCCTTGCGTTAACCTATTAGTTTTGTCATTTTGGGCTAGGGTTGGTTTTGTTCGTTTGCAATATTGAAATATAAACAAGGAATAACATACATTTATTGCTCCATTAGACAATTGTTAGAAAACTCGGACTCGCATTTCAAGCTGAATGGTTCTCGAGTCCGGTAGTGTTTGGCAGACTTGGTCGAGTCTGTAAATACTCGGCTGAGTTTGTCCAAAATAAATAACAAAATAATGTGAATCAGCCAAACTTGGCAAGTACCAATGTGTATGTTTCCAGACTCAGCATCCTGAGCTCGAATGACTCGCCCAGTTTGAGTGGGCTTGTCCAAGTTTTCGAACACTGGCTTACAGTAGCATCATAAGTATGTGCTAGTCTGACCAAATCAACCTTGCTTTGCATGTATTTGTGGGATTTCCTCTAAGAAAATGATAAGCTAACCTTTGCCAAAGATGATTTTGCATCCATATTTTTGTGAAGAACATAAACAATGTACACCACGTAGGATGCATATTATCTAATTTCACGTATTTGCAGTTAGATTGGACACCAAGGGCGGGAATCCTGATCTCCTGCTAAAATTTCCTATCTATTTTTTGAATAATGTCTTTTTTCCAATTGTTTACTGATTGGATTGACGATCCAGATTGATCGGGGCATTAGGCAACTCAAACCCTAATTTCGGTTCTTAAAAATTTAAGGCCTTGTATACCATAAGATTATTTATTTTTAGAATCACAATCATTTTTAGCCATTAAATGTTAAATTTAATAGACAAAAGTATGATGCAATATTAAAAAAAAATTATATTTTTGACTTAACAGCCAAATAATGATATGTCCTCAACCACATAGATTTTCAATTTAACAGTCAATAGTGATAGTTAGTATCAAAAGCAAATGGAAAAGTTTATATAAGGTTGCAACCTTAAAATGTAGAATCACAAATGCACCTAAAAAATCTACCGGAATTGTTGTTTTAATGTTGAAAAAGCCCTCTAATCAATCATCTCGACATCGAGATCTATGAATATGAAAAAAAGAAGTTTTTTGAATCTCGAAAATGTCCATTTAAAAAAATTTAAAAAAAGATAAGAAGTTTAGATTCTTTAAAGGGAAAATTACAAAAAGCCCTCAAGACTGCAACTTACCTCCAACTTAATTTTTTTATCACTTTTTTTCTAAAATACACTTTCTAGGCAAATACCCCCAACCAAATAAAAAATAAAAAAATACCTAAACTACCCTCCGTTATTTTTACCTTACCCATGACTCTCTCTATCCTCTATCCCAACAAAATGGGGGCTCGAATGCGGTCCGACAGTAGGGCTCCATTATTGTTTAAATTGTTGTCCAGTAGGGCTCTAGCACTATGTAAAGTGCGGTCTGACAGCAGGGCTCCGACACTGTGTAAAGTACGGTTCGACAATTGCAAAGTACAGTCTAACGCAGTTGCACAACGCGGCCGGACAATTGCAAAGGGCAGTCGGACAGTTGCAAAGGGCGGTCTGGCAGTAGATATTGTAAAAAGCGATCCGACATAACTCAGTCTAGTAGTTGTCTCCGACATAACTCAATCTAGTAGTTGTCTTAGGGCGGTCTAGCACTTGTGCGCTCTGGCAATGGATTGGTTCCAAAAGTCAACGTCAAATATGACTTAAATGATTTTTGTGTACAAGAAAGATATTTCTGTCTAAACAAAATGAACTTTTTCTTTTGAGGGTTATTTACAAGTTAGTTTTCGGAAAAAAAGTGAGTGCAAATTTGATTGGGGTAAGTTGTATACAAAGTGCGGTCTTTTTATTATTATTATTATTATTATTATTATTTTTATTTTTGTAATTTTTCCTTCTTTAAAACTGGATTATAAAGTATGAAAGCTGGGTTTATTATAGGGGCACAAAGAGAAATGGAAGCGTGGGTTCCTCTTCTAGAGATTTTCCTCAAGTCTTCCTGTGCTGAAGGGGAGGCTTCCCTCTGGTTACAGTCCAACCCTATGAAAGCCCTGCACTTCGTTTCCAAACTTCTCTCTAAAGATGTACTTTTCTACCCATCAGAGGATACCTCATCTCCTCTCTCTGAAACTATCAACCGGTAAGGCCTCTTTTCTCTCTACCCATTTATCTTTCACTTGTACTAGCTTCAAATCCCAGTTCCTCTATATAGCACATTACCAGTTTTTTTAATCAGTAGAAGAAACATATTATCATGGTTAAAACATTATGCATTGATTAGACCTGTGAAATGTAGTTGTTCTGCTTCAAAATCCGTTTTTTCTCTAAGAAATTACCAGTCTCGACCTATGAAGAAACACAATAACATGGTCAAACAATCTACTTTGCTTATGCCTGTGAAATTGTCTTAATTAGTTGCAAAGCGATTTTCCTTTGAAGAAATTGCTTGTGTTTTTCCCAATGAAAGAAACATAGTATCAGGGTTAAACAATGTACATTGGTTAGTCTTGGGAAATGAACTTCCTCAGCTTCAAAAATCAAAACCCTTTCTTTCTCAGTAAGAAAACTAGTGTTTTTTCATTGATGATCGATGGTCGGGAACAATTTATGTTGCTTAGCCTCGTCGAATGAACTTGGACATGCAGGTGCATGTGGATTCAGACTCTACCCAATTCAATGCAATCCAAAATTTTATCGTTTCTCTCCATTGAACACAGGCGATTTCATAAAAGAGACCTCGAAAATCTTGCCATTAACATATTGAAAGAGCCTGATTTGGACTTTTGGGTGATGAAATCTGCGCAAAATCTGCTTTACTTAGTCACTGAAAATGCTTCAATTCCAGTACCTGTGATTCAGGAATTCGATGCCATGCCTGACTGGTTATTTGGTCAAGAAATTTACAATGAGCCAGTTCTTCCATGGCTTCCTTTGAATTCACAGATAAAAAACTTTGATAATGGCTTAGAACCCAGGAACCAGAAGGAGCCTTTGGACCAATCTGATAACTTTGTGGGAAAGGATCCTGACCCATGTTTTGGTGAACAATCTATGGGCAAAGCTTTCTCTCTCGTCGAACCGGTTATGGTCAATAAGGAACATGACCCATGTGGGGTTGAAGAATCAAAGGGCACAGCTTTCGCTCTCATTGAACCAATTGTGTTTGAAAAGATTCCTGACCCATATGGGAGTGAAGAATCAAAAAGAAAGGATTTATCTCCTATCGAACCGATACCTTTACAACAAGAGATTCACTCGAGATCTATATGTTTGAGAGAAGAACTTTTGAGCCTTGATTCACCTGTTAAAATCTCCCACTTCAGTAACCAAATTAAAGAGCTCTGCACCCTGTCTGATGCGCTGACAGTTTGGGGCTTGATCAAGCCATGGGAATTAGATGAAGAATTGGGGTTACATTTGTTAGCCAATATCTTGGAAGAGAAAGAAAATTATGAGTGGTCAAGCCATGTACTATGTGCTTTCCTTCTTCCCAAATTGCTGACTTTGCAGGAACCAGCTTCACGTATTTTGGTAACAACTCTCATAAAATATTCCAAATTGTATCAAAGAGCAGCTGTTGATGCTCTTTTGTTTCCTTCTATTTTGCGCATTGAAGGAGTAAATATTCCCCTTTGTGAAGTGCTTACTAAGATTGTTAAGGAGTCTCTGCATCCTGTTCATGTGTCATCATTTTGCCAGAAGCTTCTCTCAAATCAAGAGGAGCCCAAGAGGTTCACATGTCTACCCTGTCACCAAGGACTAATTGCTGAAGATTTGGTATGGACAGAGGCTTTGTTCACGTTGTTTCAAAACATTCTGAATTGCAATGTTTACTTAACTCAAGATACCATTGATTCTCTTGTTCTTGAATTGGAAGAAATAGCTGAGAAGTTCTCTACATCCTTGAAGTTTGCAAATTTTGTGTTATGCTTGGTGATTAAATGTTCTTTCATGTTGAAAACTCAGAAGCATTTGCTGCTAAAAGCAGTTGGGAAGACTAACACTTTCTTGACAAATAGCATTTTGTCTAAAATAGGTCGCTTGTAAATTGGTTATATATGATCTTAATGCAATTATTTCAGCCTTTCAATTTTGAATAGTAGCAAATAATTGCGGCTTTTTATATGTTTGCACATTATTCTATGCACATTGAGCTTATAGTGGATTATTATGGTTTAACATTTGAGTCCTACATAATGATGTTTCTTGCTGATAGTTGTTCTCTCTTGTAAAAGCAAAACTTATCTTAGTAATGGTATCAGTTATCCAAAAAAGAATGTCTATTGACTGATAAAGCAAAATTGGGCACACCACCACTGCTGCTATTACTTCTATCACACACATGCACGCACCCCTTAGGGGTTTGAGTTTGATATTTAAGAGAAATGTCCTCTCCTATGAAAAAGAAACCTCTCTCAGATAAACTATTAGTGACCTGAAGAAATTGATCACAATTAGTTTACAGTTGTTCAGAGTTTCCGTTAGTGGAGGTCTTTTCCTCTCTACATAGACTTGCGTATGTATGTGGTTGTGTATTGATTTTTTTTTTTGTGGCTTATGTGGCCATGTGGATATCTGTATATTATATGCGTAACATCTCGAGATTTAGAATTGACTTAGGAATTTGAAGCCCGGAATCGTGCGCAGCTAGGAGATTCCTATTTTTGGAATCGTGGTTTATACAATGTGAATTGCAAGAGTTGAGATTCCTACTTAATGGGAATCTTGTTCCAACCCAAATGGAATCAAGATTCCTACCACTTTGGAATTGCACACCAACCCGTTTGGAATCAAGATTCAAACCTATTTGGAATCAAGTTTCAACCCAATTGGGGTTGTGGTGGTAGCACCTGCCCCAGTTAAAGTCTTGGCTTCCGTTCTCACCTAACACATTAAAAAACCACTAACGATTTGAAAAACGGGTAGGGGCTCGTCATCCCTACTGAATTACCCCAAAAGACAAAAACTTAGAACCACAACAGAAATCAAGAATATACAAGTAAAAATCCTTGATTTGTTAATAATGAAATTTTAAAAAACCAAGATATTTATTTTCCGTTCTCAGAATTTCGGAATGACGTTAAGTACAATTAGCATACATAGAGATCTTATACGCCAATCATTTATCAATGATAATAAATTTGGAATAACAGAATGTTTCGCTAGTCCACTAGGGAATTCATGATAGTGTTTACAAAACATAGAAATATTATCTTATCTTATGTATATTGAAAATCATATATAGAGTTCAAAATGGGACTTTGTTTGTGTCTTGGTGATGCTCTATGTTGTAATCTGAAATTTGAAGTCTAGATGTTATAGATTGATATGTAGCAATCATCTTTGGCAACTGTTCCTCTGAATCCAAAATTTGTTTGTCTTGGTGATATTCTGTAATCTAAAATTTGAAGTATAAATGTTATAGATTGATATGTAGCAATCATCTTTCTACCAAGCTCTGATTAACAGAGGCTGTAGTACTAAGGCTCAATCATGACAAACTTCATATGAAAACTCATCAATTATTATCTGCAGTAGGCCAACCTAAGATCAAATATTTGTTGCATTCCAAACAGTGAATATAATTGCTCAGTGTCTCTAGTTGTCCACTGACTAAGCAATTCCATCTTTAAAGCCACATTCTCCCTCCTTGGTAGCCTCAACTCTCTCATTAGTATTGATTGCTAGCCAATCCATTCACCATATCTGTTCAAATTGGGCAAGGATGCATCTGCAGGAAGTGAGCTGGAGACAGTGGAGAGATGGCTTGCATCCAAAGTTGCCTTGGAATGTAGTGACATTTTTGGGAGCAAGAATGTTATGTGAGTACAAGGTTTTCGCAGCTAAGTTTGTCTTCTCCATGGTTTGAAAAGACAGACTTGGAACAGGACACCTGATAGTCCAGTCCGGGTTGACTTGTTAAAAATTGACTCAGTCTCATGAGAATTGGTCAGCCTTAATTGAAACTTGTCGTACGTGGCCCGGGCCTCGGAGAGTCCTGAGTGAACTCACCGTCTTTTTGAACTTTGTTTCCCTCTCAGGGCCCCTTTCCTGTTTCCCCTGTAAATGTCTCTTCTAAGATCTCAACTCTTGATTCCTTCACCAGTTCTCCTTCCATTCCTTTTCTAACCAAATACATGCTTCCATCTCAAAGGACTGAACGATGTAAAGTGCGGGTTCATATAATGGCAAGAGAGCTTACATCCTGTTGGCTGATCTCATTAGGCTGGTTTTTATAATGGAAAGCCAGTTGATATGTCAAATTAGGATCTCCATCAACTCATTGGTTTTTTTGTTTTGGCTTCACGTGTAATTCATTTTGATTCAATGTTTTGGCTTCATGTGTAATTCATTTTGATTCAATGTTTAGTGATTTAGTGATTTAGTGATATTTAGTGATATTTAGTGATATTTAGTGATTTAGTGATTTAGTGATATTTAGTGATATTTAGTGATATTTTAAGTGATTTAGTGATTTAGTGATATTTAGTGATTTAGTGATATTTTAAATGATTTAGTGATATTTTAAATGATTTAGTGATATTTTAAATGATTTAGTGATATTTTGTAAAAGATGATGTGATAATTGGGAATGTGGACTGTCATTTTGTTATGACGAATTCATGTTTTAACAATTTTCAGCAGGATAATCCATAGCTCCATTATCAAATTCCTTCATCCCAACGACCATCAAAACATTGAGAGGACTACATCGTTTCAGCGTTGCTACCAACGACTCCATCGTCAGCACTTCTAACAACGGGTCCTGAGACTGGCATTGCTGGTTCCTGACTTGAGCGTCATTGGTAGCAACGATAAGGCATACGTGCTTCAATGAACACCGAAGTTTGCCGGCAACTTCATGTTGGCGTCAGAAATACATATGTGCCCAAGAACGACTATTTTTAAGTAGTTGAATGAAGGAAAACAGGCACATCATGAACACACAAGACAATCCGCATTTTATTTGTAAGGTAGGATTCGTAGGGACCAATATAGCAGATGATAATCCAAGAGCCTGACCTACTCCTACATGTCATTAGTGGATGGGGCATTGGCCTCAGGCTCGTGGCTTTTGAGCCACTCCGATTGTCTCCTGAGCTTCTTTAATTGAGGCTGGTTCGAGCTCCGCCAAGCCCCTGGGGGGCCTAGGTGGAGTAGGCGGAGGAGCCTCTTCCCTCCTCCTATCTCCATCTCTTCCCTCCTCCTATCTCCATCCTGCAGTGGGGGCAGGAAGGGCATGGGAGAGGCTTGCTCCCAGCAACCCTGATGTACTGCTGAACTCTCAGGTATCTCCCTCTTCGAATGACGCTCTTTCCTTTGCGAAGAGCATGCTCGCCACCGCATCTTCGTCCGCTGAAGTACATGGTAAGAGAAAGGATGCAAGGGATAGCATGAGCGCCTGTAAGAGAAAGGATGCAAGGGATAACTTGGCCTCGTGATCTTTATAGGCCAAGCCCCTCGCCTCGACCGTGGTTATTCTTGCCCACATGGGCTTGAACAATGTGTTCATAAGCCCACACCTGCTACATAGAGAAAAACATGTATAAGAGTATAAGAGGACTGGAGCCATACAAAATAATAAAAAAGCAGGACGAGTCAAAATGTATACATACATATACCTACAAGAACAACATTCCGCCTCATAGGTATCAGCTTTCTAGGCAGACTCGGTCACAAAGACCTCAGTAGATCCCTGCAAGAACTGTCGAAACAATTGACATCTCCCTATCGTGCCAAAAAGAGGTCGTTAGGGGGAACAAGGACGAGGGGACAATCCTTCTACCGGTCGACAACAATACAAGTCCGACCAGGCAGAAGAAAAGGTTCGCGCGCAGAGCTGAAAAGGTACTCTGGCCTGAGCTTGCGCCAGGATTTTGAGGTTGATCCACGCAACCATCATGGGGAACCGCACCCCCAGGAAATGTCGAACTGCCGGAGCATGATTGTTGTTCCTGATGGGCAGATAGTAAGCGGTGTCGCTTTATTGCAACCCGGAGATGCGAGCCAGTTCCTCTCAGGTAAAGGTGGCTTCACCGGTCTTAAAAGAAAGAAAGTATTAATGAGCGGATTGAACCGCTCTGCCAATGCCTGAAGCACGTTGAAATTTATGTGGGAGGCCATCACCTAAAATACCCCTTGGTCATGGAGAGCACGGTAAGTGAGACTGCCAGGTTGGCCTAGTCTCGAGCAAAGTCATATCGGAACCATACCGGGATCAAGTGAAAGACTCGAACGCAGCGAGGCCGCTCCCCAGCAAGGATAAAATGCACCAAGTGATTGGGAATGCCTTCCGGAAGGGAGACAGCTAGCACATTCTCAAGAAACCTCAATTTTCTATCTCCAACCAAACCCTAATTTTAGTCTCTAGGAAGCCCAAACTTGAGCCTCACGACCTTAGTCTCTAGAACCATTGCAGAGAAGAAAAATCTCTTCTTTTCAGCATCTGAAGCTTCAAACCTTTGAGATTTTAGATCCCCCTTTAAGTCATTTCATTCAAAGATCAAGTTCAGTTATTCATTTCATCAAAAGAAGTTCATTCGGTTAATCTGAGTTTTGATCAAGGCCTCTATTCTGAGTGTTGGGCCATGGGGCCCTGGCCAGTTCTTCAGCACTTTTTTTTTTTATTTTGAACTTATCATTTTATTAGAACTTATTTCATTTTCTGGAACCTTTTATTTTATTTTGCTTACTTTGATGTGATTTACAAGCAGGCCCTGCAGACGATCTAAAGAGGGTTGGATCTCTAGTGTGAGATCAAATTACCTTTGGCCCCTGATCTCGTGCGAGATCGGTCCCAAATCTAGTTGTACACAGGTGGTCCTCATTAATCGTACCTTTGGCCCCTGATATTTTGGCATCTCTTATGAACTAGACATATTCAATCAGAAAAAGGAAAGAATCATAATAGAGAAATAAAGTATAAACTTGGGAAAATATCATTTAAGGGATTAAAACCCCAAGAAGTTCAAAACATCGTGAGTAAAACTAGATGTTGTGCTTTTTAATTTAAATTTTACTCAAATACTTCTTCAAAAAATATCTTCAAAAAATATCTTTAAAAATGTATAAACTTCCATCTTTAGGGTTGGAAATTCATAATGCTTTTTAATAGTTCTAAGAGACCCCACCAAATGATGGAAACGTGCATGTATTTGAAAATATTTGTTTAGGAGTACCTGAGTGAAATACTGTTTTTTTTTTTTAAGTGTTTTGACCTCTTTAATAAATTTCTAACGGGTTTTGACCCCCTTAAATGATATTTTCTTTTTGGCTTTTATGTGTGAAACAAAACATGACATAACTGGAATTTTGAAACCAAGCACGTGGAACTGTGTTTTGCATAGAATATGAGAAAGTTGCTAAAATATCCCATTAATTTACCATTATTAGAAAAATTCCACAGAAACATATTAGTATTATGTTCATACTCTTTTTATGCATTTTTCATTTTTTTTACCCCAATTGGCCTTGCCCAAATTTAGAACTTGAGATTCGGAAGTTTTCCACCTTTTTCCATAGACTCTAGAAAAAAAATTCAATTTTTTCTTAATGTTTTGGTCTGCATCATCGCAAAGAAACAAAGTAAGTAGTTTTGGTTAGTAGGCAAAAAAAACTTAACGATTTAAAAACCCAAAGCTTGTTTTTGGATCTTTTCTTTGTGGTTTAACGTAATGAACTTCAGATTTTCAAGATCTTAAATATTTTTTTCCCCTTAAATACATTCAAGTCAAGTGTCAAGATTTGTTATACTTCGGATATAAACATCGAGTTTTCGAAATCTCAAGTATGGACAATCTCATTATTTTTTAAAACAATTGAAATAAGGGTGTGGTTTTTATAACGTTGCAACCTTAAACAATCCAATTAAGGTGCACTTTCGAAATTTATCACAATATGTAATTTTGGTAAAAAAAATTCTTAAGATTATCTCAAAATCTATTTTCATATCTACTTATAAAATTTTAAACGCCAAAAATGCTTAAAATCAAGTAGATCTATAAACATATGAAAATCTTGAAAATTGACAGTCTAGATAATATGTTTCAATATGCACTATTTATGGGACCCAAATTTTATTTTTTTTTTCATATTTGTACATCACGATGCCGAGATGAACAATTAGAGGTTTTTACAACGTTAAAACAACTTTTTCAGATGAATTTTTTAGGTGCATCTGTAATTCTAGGTTGCAACCAAC